GTCGGAGCTAGGGGCCCTTTCCGTGCGCTCAGACCTGTGTATTTTTCACAAAGAAAAGGTGGTACTCAGGACTGACCCCACCTTCAGTACCAAGGTGAACTCTACCTTCCACAACTCCCAGGAGATATATCTGCCCTCCTTCTGCCCTAATCCGATCCACCCCACGGAGAGGATCTGGCACACACTGGATGTCCGAAGGGCGCTCAAGCGATACATCCGACAAACTGAGCCATTCCGGAAAACGGAAGCCCTCTTCATCAACGTCTCGACTCCCAATAGAGGGCACAAGATGTCCAAATCAGCCTTGCGTGCAACACTGAAGTCCTGTAGCGCTGAAGCATACAGACATAGCGGCCAGCAAGTGCCCTCAGGCATCACGGCCCACTCTCTCCGTAGCGCAGCCACGAACGCAGCTCTATGCAACAGAGCGTCAGTCGAAGAGATCTGCAGGGCGGCGACCTGGACGTCGCTATCCACGTTCAGTAAACACTACAAGATCAACACATACGACTCAGTGGACGCGGCCTTCGGCAGAAGGGTCCTGCAGTCAATACTTCTGCATCCGGACGACCACCCAACCCGTACTTAGGGACACTGCTCGGGAAGGTCCCACAATCAGATGTCCTCCAGCTCAGAGGGAGAACGACCGTTGGTACTCACCGTGAGAGGTCCTTCTCCTCTGAGGACTGGAGGACATCTCGGCCCTCCCAGGTCGTCAGCATGCGTAAGTACGGGAGCTCAGGCTCGACTGTCATACTAACCTAGGTCACTCACCTATGTATATAACCTGTGTATATATGTATGCAACCTATGTATATAATACCTTAGAGAAAGAGAGATACCAAGGATTTCCTGACTGTGTAGTGATAGCTCTGTTCCTTACTATATGAGTTTAACCATGTTATGAGAATTAATTATGTTTCAAGTGTCACTGCTTTTCGGAGTACCTGAACTGAGGATGAGGGTGACTCCCACACAGGAAACAGGAAGTTCTTGGAAGTCCTGCCTCCCTGAAAGGAGGGTGGGAATCACCCACAATCAGATGTCCTCCAGTCCTCAGAGGAGAAGGACCTCTCACGGTTTACATTGTTTATATAATCGTCTATTATTTTTCTTTGCGAACATCCCAGCTTCTTAATTATCGGAATATTCTATTTTATCCTCAGGGTGTTTTTTATTTTGCTGAGATTTTTATCTTTTCAACAGCTTGCAGAAGTAGGCCACTGTTATTCCCATTTTACAGATCAGCAGTTTGAGCTGAGAAGTGAATCTGCACTGAGCAGATATTGAACTTATTTCTCTGCTGACATCATATGCACTAGCCCATGTTGTTTCATGTGTTTGCTTTTTTTCATGGCCTTTTGCAGTTTGTAGACTTTGACTTTGGATAACTTCAGGCATGCTAATCCATTCTGAAAGAAAGTTGATTTGATTGTTAATTGTCAGCTTGGTGGGGAGGGGCCATGCCTCAGTGGTAGAGCATCTACTTGGCATGCAAAAGGTCCCAGGTTCAATCCTCAGCATCTCCAGTTGAAAGGACCTCATAGTAGGCGATGTGAAAAGCCTCTGAAATAGACCCTGGAGAGCCTCCGCCAGTCTGAGTAGACAAAGCTGATCTTGGTGGCCCAGTGGCCAAATTCAGTATAAGGCAGCTTTGTGTGTTGATGAGGATGAAGCTTGTAAGATTTCAGTAGCCTGCTAAAGACCAGTTGCATTATGTGTGGCTGAAAAGAGATTCCTTGTGTGAGATTGTAACATAGCTGTCATTCATTAAAAGAACACGTAAAAAAAAGTTTACCCAGAAGAACTCAATGTGTCTTCAGAGTGAAATACCGAAATTCTTAGCTGATGTGGTCAATCCATCTTGATTTCTTTTTGCTGAATAATAGTCACTTTCAGGTAGAAATGCAACTGCTTACCTAGAAGCATGCAGGAGATTGGTGCATAAATAGATGCTCTTGAACCCAGGAGGCTCCCACCAACTAAGAATGGCCTCAGGCAAGTCATTGTGCTCAAGTTTCCCATCTGTAAAATAACAGGGACTTACATCACATGGTGGTTATGAAAATGAGCCAGGCAATTATAGTAAAGTATTAGGTACATTATACATGGACAGTCTCAGATTCCTGACTTTAGTCCTGCTTTTTGTTAGCAATATCGCTCCCTTGCTGGTGGTATAGGTTGTGTTTATTTTTTGTGAAGTGTTTTCTGAATTTTGCAGGATTCCTCCAAGCTTAATTTCCTTATGTTGCTTAACAGGGCTTTCGGGAGGAAGAAGTGCAGACCAATGGGAAGGGACCACTGGTTGCCAGCAGAGGCTATCATTGTGGGCACAAAGGCTGTGGCCGCCTCTATAGCACAGCTCACCATTTGAGGGTGAGTTCTCATGTCTCCCAAGTCTTCAGCTTGTTTCAGGCTCCTAATATTGCCATTCAGAAGGTTAAAAGCTCTGCCGTTGCCTGCCGAGGGGAGGGTGTTGGCAGCACATGAATGCCACAGAAAAGAGCGGCCCTCGCACAGCAATGCTGGGACTTTTCTCCTGGCCCCAGAGCTATAGAGCAGGGGTCATTTCGTAGAAAAAGAGATGCAGGAGCTCATTAGCATAACTTATTTGCATATGTCACACCCCCTGACATCACCGGAAGTGTGTCGGAAGGCAGCACTTGTAAGGCTCCTTTTCACCTAGCCACCAATCACTTCGAATCCCAAGTACTAGTGTATTTAAAGCTACACTGGTACCGAAGCGACTAATAGCCAGGTAGGTTACAGAAACATTTCAGTTTGCCTGCCCTTTAGAATGGATATACGGTGCTCAGGCCCTGGTAAGGCAGTTTTGAAAGGGTTTACACACTTTCGTGGATGACAGATCCATCCACGGCTGAAAGTCATACCAACACAACAGAAATCTAATAAGAAATGTTCAATGCATGTGGTCTGTTTGTCCCACACCTCATCTAAAGCTGCTTCCACTTTGCCTCAAACACATGTATACACGCCTGTAAATCGATCAGCCATTTTAATGCACGTGTTCTGAATCTTCACATGCCACTACCCAAGACATGGGCAATGAACACCACCACCACCATTTCACAAATAAGGCTAGGTCTACAGATGCATGCAAAAGCCCCTACCTGGTCTGCCATTTTTCTGTCCTACTGATAATGAGGGGACAGCGTGATTCCACTGAAGCAGAATTTGGAGGTTAAACAAGAAACAAACATGAACACAATAGTTTGTCCCTTCTGCACTTCTAGTAGGATCCCCCCCCCCCACTGGCCTAAAGGTCTGCGTCTCCCAGGGAACAAAAATCAACTCCAGCTTAAACGAACATGTTTTAAAATGAAATAAATGGGAGGAAGAGAACGGGTAGAAGCAGCAAAACCAATTAAATATCCAGTACATAAGAACATAAGAGATGCCAATGTTGGATCAGGCCAAAGGCCCATCCAGTCCAACACTCTGTATCACACAGTGGCCAGAAATACCAGTGCCATCAGGAGGTCCACCAGTGGGGCCAGGACATTAGAAGCCCTCCCACTGTTGACCCCCCCAAGCACCAAGATGACAGAGCATCACTTGCCCCAGAGTCCCTATCTATACCTTGTGGCTAATTTTGAGGGCTGAAGACCAGCACCCCCCCCACACCTGCACATACACATGGGACGTTGGCTACGGCAGTTGGGGTTTTGCAGGCGCAGCTGGGGGGAGGGAAGGCTTTTCCAGCCAGAGGTGTTGCATTCGGGATGGGCCAACGCAAGGTTAAGGTTAGTTGCTTCGGCTGGCAAGTCGGCGTTCCCCCCTTCACCTCCATGGATGGAAACGCTGCAAACTGTTGCCTGGATCAGCTCTCGGGGAGGGGATTCCTCCCGGGGGTTCCCAATCGCTGATCTATTTGGGCAGCGGGGGGGGGGTTGCATTTCCTAAAGTCATTAAGCAGAGGGGAGGGGGAGGGGGAGAGTCACCAGAAAAGAAACCCCAAGAACGGCTTTCTCCGGCCACCAGCACCTGGCCCCACCAGCGCTGCTTCTGCTGCTGGCCTGTGCCCTGCGCTCTGAGTTAAGGAAGCAGGCAGTGAGGTGGGGAGGAAGGTGCAGCAACGAAGGCCGTGGTGGGCTGCTTCCCTTGAAAAGGTGCCTTTAAAGAAGCCTGGCTCCCCAATTCACTTTGCAAGGAGCGACCACCGAAGCCTCTTGCCTCTGGGGGGAGAGAATACAAGTCCCGGCAGGTGCTTTGGTGCTGTGTCACCTGAAAAGGATGATTGGACGTGGCTGGCCGCCTCTCCCGCCTCTCAGCGCCAGTCAAGGAAAGGCCACCAGTGGCTTCAGAAAAGAAGGTGCAAGGAGCAGGCAGCCAGGCAGCATACCAGGTCGAATTTAGCATTATTTACAAATTTTGAAACTTTTTCAGCTCGTAGAAGAAAAATATGACTGCACATCTCTTTGCAGTTGTTAGAATATGGAAATGAGTCAGCAGGTGTCAAAGACATAGCCCTTTGTCATTTGTAATATGTAGTTCTGCCCTTAGTGTAGACAGTAAAGGTATATATCAGATATATAAAAGCAAGTTATGCTGAATGTTGTTGTTTTGAACTAGTATATAATATATATAAATGTATTTTCGCATGGCAACATTCTATGCTTGCCAAAATCAGTTGACTGCCTAAACTGCCCATCGGAAGGTATGCCTGAGTCCCGCCCACAGAGCCAGCTCCTGCCAAAACTCCAATCTGAGCAGTTTACCTCAGCAGTCGAGCAGCCATTTGCCTGACCAGCCTTCTTCAGCCGTCAGGAGAAGATCAGCGGAGGAGCAGCCACGGCCGTTTGCCTGCCAACCATTCTTCAGCCCTCTGGAGAGCCTTGCAGATGGCTGTGGTTCATTGTTTAAAATGTTCACCCATCAGGTTTAATTGAGCTGTAGTTCCAGAGAGGGGCCTGCAGGGTATCACTCACTGGGTTGAATGGGGGTTACTCATCTGCTGGCCTACAGTTCCCATCTGCCCCCAGGCCAAAAAGTGTGGGAAAACAGGGACTGTCCCAAGGCAGTGTTCGTCCCTGGGAGCAGCAGAAATTCAGCCACTCCACAGTTAGCTGGATTGGGGAATGAATGGAAGTTTCCCTGCTCTCTTGGGCAAAAGAGAGAGGCTGAAGTACAGGTGAGCCCACAATCTCCAGAGGTAGAGAGTATTCTGTGTA